TGCCAAGCAGGTCCTAATCTAGAATGTGCTAAGCTAGAATGTGTTACTCTTGATGGTCCCAAACAGTTTTTGTTTTCATTTAATTTTGGTCATTATTTCTTAATTATATTTCTTAGTTTAGTTAATTATTTCCTTTCAACCTTAGTAGATTTTGTTTTCCTTTAGAATCCTTATTTAAAAGGAGACTACAGTAGATTCTTTAACTTTAGTTTGTGTTTGGTTACAAACACTTCTTTACTATTAGGTATGCTTTAAGACATAAAAAAGTGCAGGCTCTGTAGTAAAGGTGAACATTTATAATTTTCCTCTTTGAAAAGAGTTGAATCTTGAAGGAGTTACTCAGCCTCTTTGAGCCTCAACTTTATGTATTTTGTTGGTTTGGTTGTATAGGGTTTGATGGGGCTTATTCTGGGTTGGTTTTTTGTTGTTTTTTTTCAGTCTGGGTTTTTTTTTTTAATGTTATTTATTCCAATTTTATATCTGTATAAGTGTTTTGCCTGCATGTCTATAAATACATCCAAGTTGTGCAGTGCTTGCGGAGACTAGAAGAGGGTATTGAATCCCTTAGAAATGGAGTTATGAATGGTTATTAACTGCCATGTGGGTGTTGGAACTGAACTCAGTTCCTCTTCAAGAGCAGTCAGTGCTGTTAACCACTGACTCATCTCTCCAGCCCCCTGCCCCCTTTTTTAAAGACAGTTTTGTATATAGCCCTGGATGGCCTGAACTCTATGTAGACCAGACAAGCCTTAAACTTGTGGCATTCCTCCTGACTCTTGCCTTCCAGTTGTTGGGATTCCAGGTATTAGCCACCATACCTGGCTATAGATTTTTTTAGTTTTTAATTTTGTTTTTTCTCCTTCAAGTGATTATCTTAACTTCATAGCACTGTTACTGGGATTAGTGAATTAATATTTGAGATTAAATATGTCTCCTTTTGCTAATAAAGATGGTTTTTCACTTAAGATGTCCTGAGAAACCCATTTTAAGTTAAATATTGTAAGTCAATACTGAATATAATATCTTTAGTATATCCTACTTTAAATATGCTCATGACTTTTACATTAGACTGAGTTGTACAACTGGAGTCCCAGGACTCAGGTTCTGGCAGGAGGATTTTGAGTTCAGGGTCAGCTTATGCTATATAACAAGATCCTGTCTCAAAACAAAATGAAAAAATAGCAGAAAAGAGAAAATTACATTAAACTACAGTTCAGCAGGTATGTCAGAAAAAGCCTGCTGGGCACAGTGGCACACACCTTTATCCCAGCACTCTGATAGCAGAGGCAGGCTGATCTTTGTGAGTTCAAGGTCAGCATGGCCTGTATAGTGAGTTTCAGGCCAGCTGGGGCTACAGGGAGACCTTGTCTCAAAAAGACCATAAAGGAAAAGAAAATGCCTGTTTATAATAAATCGTTGAATATCTTACGTACATTTTGATTCCCTCGTTCAAGAATCCCATGAGGTGAGATACAGTATATCACAATTATCAGTTGTTTACTCTTATTATGGAATGGTAGAACCTGACAAGTCCAAGGTGAATATGTGGTTCCTCACTGTCCTCCTTTGGTTCTACCCAGCCAAACCAGGAAAACATTAAACTGAGGCCAGAGAGGCTGAGTAACTTTTCCAAGATCCAACCAACAAATATAAGAGAATTTAAAGGAGCATTTACTTGACTCTGGAGCAGCTTATGCACTTTTCATCATACTTAAAAACAATTTTTATTACATTTGTTTATTCATTTATTTAGGTACTAGCACGTCAGTGCACCAGTGGGTGTCAGAGGATACCTAGGAGTTGGTTCTCTCCTTTCATTGTGTGGGTTCCAGGTTGTCAGGCTTAGCAACAAGTACCTTTGCCAGTAGGCCGTCTCACTGACCCTAGTCGTCTGTCAAAATGAATTAGTATGAATTAACAACTGTCTATGCTGAAATGTTGCACTTAGGTTAACTCCTCTTCCCGAAGGTTTGACAGCTGATTATCTTGGTAGTTGCACATTTACATAGGGTTCTATGTGTCCCTGTACTGAATTCCCAAAGTTGTGTTTTCTGATTGCCTTTCCTCACATAGTAGTATATATTTACCTTTCTTTACAATCTTTTCCTCAAAAAAGCACAGCAAGTATTTCCTAATTCATTCTGGAAATCACATTTATTCTAATACCAAACCAGTAAAAAGATATTACAAGAAAACTAAGGACCTCCTGCTAGGTATGTCATATGACTTTAATTCCAGCACTCAGGAAGCAGAGTTCAATTCCAGCTTGGTGTACACAGGGAGTTCCAGGTCATCTGGGGCTACAGGGAAACCCTGTCTCAAAAACAAACAAACAAACAAAAAAATCACCACCACCTCAACAACAACAAAAAAACCTCAGGACCAGTATCTCTCCTAAATGTAAGTGTACTAGTCTTTAAAAAAATCTATTAAATCTAACAATATATAAAAAGAATTCTACTTCAAAAAATCAAATGGGATTTATCCAAGGTATACAAGGCTTGCTCAACATTTGAAAATCAATTAATAGAATCCGTCATTTCACCAAGCTAAGGGAAAGTTACATGATCATATCAGTAAACACATACAAAGCATTTGACAGCACCCAACACACATTCATGATAAAAGCTTACAGCAAAGAAGGAATGTTGAACCTGGTAGAGCTCGTCAACTAGAACCTTGCAGTTGGCATGATATTTAATAGTGAGAAACTAGAGAGGCTGTTTGGAGGGGCTGTGGATGTGACTTGTTTATATAGCTTTTAGAGTTTTTCTAATGTAAATCTTGGATATATTTTGTTAAATTTATAACTAAATATTTTAGTTTGGGGAGGTACTAATAAAGATGCAGTATTTTAAATTGGAAATGTTACTCTTTCGTTGCTGGTGAAATAGTAAAGTGTTGATTTTACATGTAGACCTTGTATCCTACAACCTTTTTATAGTTAATAGTTGTAGGTTTATTATTGATTCTTTCATATATCTTACATAATCATATCATCTGCAACCTTTAACCTGAACCTTTATACTTTGGATAAATTCACTTTGCTTTTTGTATATAATACTTTGTATATTCTTTGATTTGATTTGGTAAGATTTTATTGATGACTATAGCACTTAAGTTTAGGAGATACTGCTGGTCTTAGTTTTCTTATACTGTTTTCTTTCTGGCTTGGTATTAGTATAATTGTGATTTCACAGAATGAATTAGGAAGTACTTGTGGCTTCTCTCTTTAGGAAACGATTGGAGAGAATTGTATTTTCTACTTATATGTTTGATCAAATTTACCACTAAACTTTTCAGCCTGATGATTTTGTTTAGAAGGTTATTAATTGAATCAATGTCTTTAATAGATATAGAATAGTCATTCTGTCTACTTCATTTTGTCAAGTGTGTTTTGGCGTATTAAGGATTTGACCCATTTCATCTAAGTTATCAAATTTGTGTATTTTTATTCTTGTTGCTGTCCATAGGATCCCGTTTGATGTCTCTTCTTTTGTGTCTTTTTTTCTTATAGAAATTTATTGATTTTATTAATCTTTTGAACCATTTGGATTTCATTGACTTATATTCTTGATTTGTTTTTAATTTTACTGATTTCTTTAGTTTTTTTATTCTCTTTTGAATATGTAGTCTGATAATTATAAACTCTTAGAGCACTTGCTAATGTTGCTATTTGAATGTTAAAGTCAGGGAAATGTCATATTGTGCAGAATTTCTTGAAGGATATAGAATGTTTAAATGGTCAAAGTTTACGTTTTTTAGGTGGAGTTAGATAACAGATCTGGGTACCTGAAGGTTAGCTACCCTATAGGGTTTAGTGCTCATGGGCTTGTCACATACTCCATGGTTCCAGAGAGTATAAATGCTGCAAAGGGCCATTTGAAATAAAAACTTGGCATCAAAATTTATGTAAAATACTTTATGTATACTGCACCGTATATTGATTTCTGAGTGCTGTCATTAGCTGTATTATACATTGGTTATCCGTAGGTGCCATTGCTTTGTCACAAGTGCTATAGATGTCCTGTGATATATAAAAATCCCCTGTCCTTTTATCTCATGTGTGTCATTGGATTTATATGTTAGTTTACTCATAATGTCTTTTAATTATTCACACAGATTAGATAATTCACAGTTATGAGCAGATCTTAAGAAACGCACATGAATACTAATGAGAATTGTTATCTGGCGATCTTGATAGTGTGCTAGCAGTAGGGCTTGATGAGTTTCTTTAAGATCAGTATTCAGGGTGCATGTGTGTGCATGTATGTATGCACACATCCAAAGGAAATGAGATTTAGTGTGTGTTGTCCTGACTTTGTAGACTTGGTACATAAACAAACTAAAGGAAAGAAATCACATTCTTTCTTTGCCTGTTTGGCCAGAAATGAGGATTATGGTGACTACCTGCCTGATGGTTTGTTTTTAAAATACTGTGATGCACGCCTTTGATCCCAGAGCTTGGGAGGCAGAGGCAGGCAGATCTCTGTGAGTTCAAAGCCAGCCTGGTCTACATAGTGAATTCCAGGACAGCTGGGGCTACAAGGGAGACCCTGTCTCAAAAAGACCAAAAAAAAAAAAATACTGTTAACATTTCCATGTATCAACACAAATCAGCAAGATCCCAATTGCTGTGAATGTGTTAAATTTTTCTTATCCTGTGACCTAACCTTCATGCAAGGAATGTGTGCATATTGAACTGCATGTTTTCACTGCCTACTCCTGTCATGCTAGATGTAAGTTTTGATGAAATTACAGAATTCTTGGTGCATTTGATGAACTAACTGAAGTAATCTTGTATCTTGATTCTCAGTTTCGATATTCATTTGTCACTTACCATTGTGGTATTAGAGAGAAAGGAAATTATTACTAATGAATTTTCAAACATTTTCAAGCAGATAAAATTTTTCTTATGGAATAAAGAACATTTTAAAATAGTAATGTAGTATTAAGGGATTGATAAGAAAGTTTCTAAAACTGTATCTTCAAAATGTCAGTTCTTCAGGTGCTGGCAATGTGGCAGACAGAGTTTTAGCTCAGCTGTTAACAGAAATGGATGGGATTGAGCAGCTAAAGGATGTGACAGTTTTGGCAGCTACTAATCGCCCAGATAAAATAGACAAGGTAAGAAAGAAGGTTGTTTGAGTGTTATAAAATCAAGAAACAAATCATTTAGTTTTTGTCATCTTTTTATCAATTTATTTTTGTAAATCACTCTTTAGTTTTCCATTAGAAGTTATTGGAGGATGTATAAACAGTTCTATTCTGGTTATGCTGCAGATTTATTTCTTGTTAGGTAACAGGGGACAATAGAAACCCAGCATTCTTTGTGAACCAGTCCCCCCAAATTCAGGAAAGTTGCATTTTCACTGATGCTAAGGGCTCTGGAAAGATGCTATCCTAGGTTCAGCTCTCTGGGGAAGCCGGAATCAATTAATTCAAGTACTGAAGGACATCTTTTTTGAATGAGGATCAATAGGAGCTGGGTTACTATAGCTAGCCCCTTTCAATCTCAGGGTGTTGCACTCCTTTTCTTGCGAATTACGAAAGAGAAGTGGTTCAAGGCCACCCAGGGAACTGTCCCTCCAAGGGATCTTAAACTGAAGGAAATAAAGTGGAAAAAGAAAACTTTGAAGGGTTTCTTTTCTTGCTTATGGTTCAGTATTAAAGAAGCTACTTTGTACCTCTCTTGCATCTTTAGTTCAATTAGGTGTTTGGCTATGCAGTAATAACTCTTTGGTCAATACAGGTAAGAGAACTTATTTTTCTTTGCTGTTGCTGTATTTTATTGCAAGCTGAGTTCTTAACATTTATAGGATCTGGGTCAGTACTAAATATCTCAGGTTTGTACAAAAGGTAGGACTGTATTTTAACAAGGAGATTAGAAAGTGCTGATGGAGCCCTTAAAAATCACCTCATTACCTCATACAGATAATGGTTCTGAATCCAGAAAAGCTTTCTTTCTGGTAGGAATGTGTGCGCTTTTTGGGTTATCCCCTTTATTGATGAACTTTCAAGTTTCTGGGGTTTCTTTTTTTCAAAATCAACTCTCATGCTAGACTTCTTTGGTTTTCTGATGTTGGATGCCTTCAATGTTAGCTCTGTTTCTTGAAGTAAGATTTAGGGCATTCATTTAAACTTGTCTGTGCTCTTCTGACTGAAGCTAAATGACTTAGAGTTTCTTGTAACTGCCACAGAGCAGCGTTACTGTCCTGTTTATCTATGTATTTACCTTCATGTCTGTAGGTCAGTCATTATATAGGCTTAGAATGACTGTGGGTGGATTCTTCAGTCTAACTGAAGACTGGTTGGCTTGCATTCTCATCAGGAGATGGTTGTGGCAGAAGTCCAACCTTAAAGGAAAAAAACTGAATTTTTCCCACAGGCTATCAACTAGCAGCCATCACTTGCTGCACACTAATTTCATTCCTCGCCACTCAGCTGTCTTCACCTGCAATGACAAGCAAGCAGCTCCATCATATTGATTGTATCCCTGTCATACTTAAACCCCACCCCATCCCACCCCAGGAATTGGCCAGTTCCTTTTAAAGGTTCATCTGCTCAGGATTGCTCAGGATCAGGTCAGGCCCATCAACAACAACAAAAAACTATACTTTAAAGTCAAGTAATTCAGACCCAGATTACATGCTGAAAGTATTTCATGGTAATGCCTAGTTTAGCATTTTATTGAATACATGGAGCAAATATGTGTCTATAGAGTATTCATTTCAGAGTCTGCTTTCTGCAGTGTCCTCTAGATTTTCTCTCTTCCCTGAGTTCATCCTGGGCTCCAAGAAGTTGTTAGTTTCTGTGAGCAGCCTGTCTTCACTTTACACAGCTTTTTGAACCTCTTTGTTCTGCACAGTCTCGTCATCTTAGCCATAGCATTTCTTAGCCTTGCCTTTTGTAGACATGTCTTCCCAGCCAGTTCCAGCTAGTCAGAGTTGCACTGATACATACTTTGTCATTTAACTTGGAGAAATGACTCAGCAGTTAAGAGCACTGACTGCTCTTGCAGAGGACCTAACAACCATCTTTAACTCCAGTCCCAGGGAATCCAACACATTCTTCTGGTCTCTGGGCACTGCACACATGGATGTACTCACATACATGTGTTCAAAACAGTCATACACATAAAAATAATTTTTTAATGGAAAAGGCTGTGGTGGTTTGAATGAAAATGTCCCCCATAGGCTCCAAGTATTTGGTCATTTTGTCCCCAGATGATGGTGCTGTTTTGGGAGGTTTTACAAGGTGTGGCTATCCTGGAGGAAGCACGTCACTGTGGGTGGGCTTACAGAGTTCTTAAGCCTTGCCAGATCTCCAGTTTCTCTCGTTTCCTGTGCCTGTGTGATGATGTGAGACCTTCACTTCTGCTGCTCCTGCTCTAGCCACCTCCAGCCACCATACCTCCCGCCATGACAGACTGTAATTCCCCTGGAACCGTAAGCTCATATAAACTCTTCTTTCTATAAATTGCTTGGGTCAGTGTTTCTGTCACAGCGACAGAAAAGTGACTAATACAAAGGCTAAATCAGTTTAGCCTTTTAATCAATTTAAATTTCCCTTTTTAAAGTTAGAATTTTGCTGGGCACAGGCATCCTGTAATCCCAGCACTTGGGAGGTAAAACCAGGATGATTTGGAGTTCAAGGTCAGCCTGGAGCTACATGAGAGCTCATCTCAAAAACAGAAGAAAAGTAGAAAGAAAAAACCCACAAAATTATATTGTTTATATTAATTAAATTAATTCATTTTAATTAAAGAAATTAAAGATTAATTGAATTTATTATTTTCATGTTCCGTGTGTGTGTGTGTGTGTGTGTGTATGCATGGATACTCAGTGTAGTGAAATGCTGGTTGAGAATGTTTTGCTTACTTTTCCTCAGTGAAACCTAAAGTGAACCCCCAACTGATGAATTTCACAGTAAAGGTATATTCCAATGTAGTTCTTTCCAATACCTATTACAAAAACCCTTTGGAAATTTATGGTCATCCTGGAGAGTGGAAGTTCTTTTCTTTTTTCACTAATTTAGACTCCTAAGCTTGTGATAGTGACTTCCTTTCCTCTTAGGTAGCTTTAAGTTTGAAGAATATGAATATCATGGAAAAATTGCAGACTATAGGGAAATCTAAGTGGTTCTTACTTTGGGTTTTATGCTTTGAAGAATTATTTTTTTAATTTTTTAAAAAAATTAATAACCACATGATTAGAGGAAGCATTTCATTACAGCTTTAACATATTCAGTAACATACTCCAAAGCAAGGATACATCTCTTTCAAAAGTGGCTGAAAATTTTTAGGTTCACAGTTGAATTAATACAGTTATACAATATTGAACTCAGTATAAACCCTGTAAGAAGATCTCCATTTCATTTTAAAATATTCTGTTTCCTACATTTTTTTAAATATTTTTTTTAGAAGAAGCATATCACTATAGCTTTAATATGCTCAATAACAGTTTCCAGAGCAAAGATACAGCTCTTTCAGAAGTGGCTATAAAATTTTCAGGTTCGCCATTGAATTAATACAGTTACACAATATTAAACTCAGTGTAAGTCCTGTAAGACATAAAATTGAGTTTTTAACCTTTAAAAAAGATCTCCATTTCATTTTAAAATAAACTGTTTCTTATAGAAAGACTCATTGTTTTTGCTACTAACATTGAGATGTTGGTGCATGCATCTCTAATCGGTATGTATCTGATTATTTTTAGTCATAATTGGTTGCACTCGGATCCTTGCCACCTGTGTATATCTATAAAGTTCTTGGGTAGATTTCACTGGTAATGTTTATCACCTCTACTAATTAACGTCATGTAAACTTTTATGCTTCTTCCTCAAATATAATACATTTTTAAATTTGTTGATTTTTGTGTGTGTCTGTATATCATATAGAGCATCCCAAACCATCTTATTCCTCTATACCCCCACTTCCCAGATGGCACCCTCCCATAGCCTCCCTCCTCCCACTAGAGCCCTTATACACTGTTATCCCTGCTACTGTCCTCTGTGTTGTCAGCACCCCAGCCGTTCCCCACTACTTGTCCATCTGGTGAATCTAGTCAGCCTATCTAGAGGTCTTTGTTTTAGGAAGGTCAGCTGTTCGTCATCTAGCAGCAATCAGTTGTCAATATTCCTTTAGATAAGGTTGGGGTCTGCTGTTCATTTTTCTAGTTCTATGCTGGTTTACTATCTGGGAGTCCCTTGGGCCACCCTGGCTAACAACTCAAAAGAAGGTATCTCCTATCTAGCATTGTTGCTTGTTATGTAGCCTTTAGTCATACATATGGACTCTTAAAAAAAATTGGCCCCTTTAATCTTTGGTTATACTTTCCTTTTGGGTGTTTAAGACCATACAGTTGTTCCAGATAAACCAGTTTATTTTTACTTTTAAGGTCATTTGAGGATTTGCTCCTCAGGGTCACAGGGACTTGGGAGGAGCCCCCAGCTCCTTTCTTTTACCACTGCCTATATGAAGATAAGTCAAAGGTCCTGCTCAACCATGGCTGGCTTTGCTTGGAAGCATGGAGGAAATGTTTCTTCTGTGTTGACCCTCCTCTTTGTAGACTGGACACTGGTTCAAGTCCATCTCGTGGGGTCTCCTCGGCCTTCTTGATCAAGGGGACAGGTGACCCACCACAATTACAGGACATTTTGAGAGATGCTCATATTCCCCTGGAACTAGTCGACCTAGCAGGGCAAGGAGCAAAAAGTGTCCTTTATGTTTTCAGTAGGTAATGTTTAATTCACTTTTCAAATTTTCAAAATCTGGTTTAATTTTATGATAGATAAAACCATAAAATCATAGCAAAAAAAAGATAAATATATATATTATTTTTTGTGTGTATATTTCATACAGAACATCTCAAACAACCTTAATCATCTTTATACCCTCGTCCCCACAGGCACCTTCCTGTAGTGCCCCCCCCCCCAACTAGAGCCCATATATTCTGTCATCCCTGTTAAGGCCCACTGGGTTGTTGGTGTCCTCAGCAATTCTCCACTGCAAGTCCATCTACTGAGTCTAGTCAGCCCATCTAGATTCCCTTGTTTCAGGAGGATGAGCTCTTCATCTAGCAGCAGTCTGTTGCCAACATTTCCTTCAGAAAGATTGAGGTCTACTG